TTGATCTATCCTACGGTCTTAAATTGTTATTTACATTCCATGGCCATCCAGAAACCTCCTTGCTAGCTTCTTGGAGGCTTCTTGGAGGCTTCTTGGGGCCTCTTGGAGCACATTTGGGACTTCTTGTAGCCTCTGGTGGCTATTTGTGGAGTCGTTGGATGGTCTTGGGGCTTCTTGTAGCCGTTTGGGCGGTTTTTAAATTGTCTCGGAGCTGTCTGGCAGCCGACAAAGGCGCCAGAACACATTCAGCGGTGGCGCTTTTCGGACCCCGTGCGGGAGTACGGGCGGGAGGCGGTCCTGGAAATAAGTTATAATTCTTGACGTTTCGCGTATATGTACTAGTTTCTGGTTTGTCCTTGTTTCTCGTTTTCCCGCTACGTTTCGCCTTTCTTGCTCTCCTCGTGTGTCTCTTGCTTTTCGCTTTCGCCGCGTTGTTTCGCCCCCGTTGTGGCCCCCCTTTTCCGCGTGCTGCCTGCGCTTGGCCTGCCCTTTCACGACTGTTTACACGGCGCGCGGTTGCCCGCGTCGCTCGCGAGCAAAACATAGATGTACTAGTCTATTTAGAAACAGATCGCAAGGCGGGTTGCCGTGATCAGGGCAGTGTAGAAGCATGCAGTGCGACAACCGCTTTGGAGGCGTTTTCTCGAAGGTCTGGGCCCATCTTGGGGCTCTCTGCGGGTCCTCGTGGAGTCTCTTGGGGCACTCTTGAAGCCCGTTTGGAGCTCTCTTGGGATTTTCTTGGGGCCCTCTTGGGGCTCTCTGGGGGTGCCTGGGAGGCCTTTGAGGCAGTTTTGGGCCCCATGGCTCACAGAGGGGGCACTGAATGCAGCCCCCCTCGGAGGGAGGCTCAACAATGATGTCTTGAGGCTTTCTTGGGGCGATCTTGGGGCGTTCTTGGGCCCTCTTGGGGCCCTCTTGGGGTCCTCTTGAGCCCCTTTTGGGGCTCTCTTGGGCTGCCCTGGGGCCATTTTCAGGCTTCAAGATGCCATCGGAAGCGAAACGGCGAGGCGGCAAAACGCAGTGATTTTCCGTTGGTGTTTGAAGGACTTTCGCCTCTTGGGGGGTCTTTGGAGGGCTCGGGGGGCACTTGAAACCGTCTTGGTGCCGTCTTGAGTTCTTTTGGATGTGAGCGGGAGGCTATCTTGAGCCATCTTGGAGGCCATCTTGAGCCATCTTGGAGGCCATCTTGGGCTCTCTGAGGCCCTCTTAGAGCCATCTTGGGCCATCTTGGGCGCTCTAACTACCCCCCCCTGTCCCAGGCCCAGGGGAGGGGGTATGGGGGAGGGGTCAAGCTACCCACCCGCCCGCAAGCCGTCCAGTTCAGTCCCAACCGCCCTCCCTACACATAAGTAACACCCGAGCCTGAGCATGTTCAGCGGTCGTCTTTGGATGGGCAGCTACTGGGAACCAACGCCGACCCCAGGTGCGCGACGCTGGGGAGAGGTGCCGCAGCGTGCCAGGCACGCCTGGACGCGTACGCGCCCCTGGGGCCCGAGCGTGCCAGGCACGCCTGGTGCGCCAGATGCGCCACGTGCTCCGAGTGCGCCAGGTGTGCCGCACACTCCAGCCGCGCTAGGTGCGCTGCGTTAGGGGCACGTTCAGAATGCGTCAGTGCGCCTGATCGCGTGACAGCACACAACGGGAAACATGTCGGCCCCCGCCATCCTTGCCGAACGCCGATGCCCATCATTGTGTTTGGTGGACCTGCGCGCAGCAGGCCACGCGCCGCCACCCCCGCCGTCCCTGTCAAACAACAGTTTGTGAGGCTCTGGGTGGGGATGAAGATAGCATCGGTGCCACCATGCAGAGACTCAGGGGCAGCAGGCCAGGCTCAGACCGTCTTCTGAACCTGTCCTTGCTGTCGGTGTCCTTCTGAACTTCTAGGTGGTTGAATTCTATCCTGAGTGGTCTCGCACTCTCGCATTAATTTACAGCTTTCAGCGACGGATGTCTCGGCTCGAACAGCGATGAAGGGCGCAGCGAAGTGTGATGAGCATGGTGAATTGCAGAATTCCGTGGCCCAATAGGACTTGAACGCATACTGCGTTTTCGGGATATCCTTGAAAGCATGCTTGCTGCAGTGTCTACTCTTTATCATTCCAGCTTCTGGCTTGTCCAGAGCGCTTGTGTGTTTCTGTGCGCCAGGGTGCCTTGCGGCCTCTGGTGCATTCAGCGCACAGGGTTCTCCCACGCAAGCAACTAGAAGAGTGTCTCTGATGCTATATGTTGCCTGTCGCTGGGTATGGCCTTGCTGTCTAGTGCCCCTGCCCCGCTCACTCTTACTAAGATATGCAGTTCGTTCAACAAACCCGCTGAAATTAAGCATATAAGTAAGCGGAGGACATGAAACCAACCGCTTGCGAGTGATCGCGGGATGGCCGCGCATGATCCAGATTTGGCCGCGAGGTGAATGTGGTATTGCTTTTTGTCAGGGATGGTAGCCCTGCGCGCAGCAGGGAATATGCTGACACCCCCGCTGTCCTGGTCAAACACAATACAAAATCCTCGCGGGCCTCGCGAACATGACTCAAGACTTTGCCCTAAAGTATACTTTGCATTGTTCTTTGACAAGGGCGCATCGGGTTGGCCCCGCATGCTCCACATGTGGAGGCAGAGTGCGGCTTGTATTTTTTTGACAGGGATGGTGGGGGGCGGGTGGGCATGGTGTCAGGTGTCGGCATGGTGCCTGGTTGGCCCCCAGTCGCCTGGGTGATCAAGACGCCCTCCTAACATCCCATCCGCCCTCTCAACAAATAAGTAACACCCGAGCATCTGCACGTTCAACGCTCGTTTTTGGATGGGCAGGTATTGGGAGCCAAAACCGAGTCCATGTGCGCGACGCTGGGGCGAGGTGCGCCACGCGTGCCAGGCGCGCCACACGCGCCAAGCTCCCCGAGCGTGCCAGGCACGCCTGGTGCGCCAGATGCACCACTTGACACTGATCGCGGGGTGGCCGCGCATGATTCAGATTTTGCCGCGGGATGTATTGTGGACTGTTTTTTGTCAGGGAAGGTAGCTCTGCGCACGGCAGGCAATATGCTGACACCTCCGCCGCCCCTTTCAAAAAAAACAAGTCAAAGTGCTCGTGGGCCTCACGAAAATCACTTTGAATTGTTTTTTTGACAGGGATGGTGGAGGGGTGGCCCTCATGGGGTTATCATTGTTCCTGCTTGGCTGCCGGTCGTCTGGGGAAGGGGGTGTATATTAACAGGGAACAGAGATAAACCCCTCCCCCGTGAAAGGGAAAAGAGTGAGGTTTGGCAGATAGAAGACAAAGTTCGTTAAACCACCCACGACCAGAGGGCTGGTACCGGACAACAGCCGACAATCGTAACACGCCGCAACGTGCCTGCGACACGGTGGCGTGTGCGGCGCGAGGTCTTGCAGTCGTGTCATCGGTTGGCGGCTGTCCTTCGTACGGGGGAGCCGGATGGGGAGCAGGCCGATACCGGCGACGGCTTCGATCGGGACGGACGATCAGGAAGGCCTTCCGAGGTGCTCAAGGAGCGTGTGAGAATCTGCCTGCGGCGGTGCGAGACGGCCTTGAGACCTCTGGCGCCCTTCTGACGGGTGCTTCTGGTGAGGCACCGCGCAGCGCTCCTAGATTAAAAAAGAGATGCCCCCGAACATGCCCACGCGCCGCCCAATGCCAGTGAGTTGGCAATGCTCAGGATGATGATGATGCTGCTGCTGATGATGATGCTGCTGATGATGATGATGATGATGATGATGATGATGATGATGATGGCGGTGTGGTTATGATGATGGTGATGATGATGATGACGACGATGACGATACTGATGATTATGATGATTATTGCGATGGCGGCGGCGACGATATCATGACCTCAATGGCGGCAGCCAGGATGATCATGATAATGGTGATGTCGGTGATGGTGATGTTGTTGGTATTGGTGATGTTGGTCATGCTGCTGCTGCTGATGCAATGATGATGGCGACGGTGATGATGGTGATGGTGATGGTGATGCTGATGATGATGCGGATGATGATGATGATGATGATGATGATGATGCTGATGATACTGATGATGATGCTGCTGCTGATGATGATGTTGCTGATGATGCTGATGATGATGTTGCTGATGATGCTGATGTTGATGATGATGATGATGAAACTGTTTGTGAATATGATGATTGTGGTGGTGATGGTTATGGTACTGACGGTGCTGCTGCTGCTGATGCTGCTGATGATGATGATGATGACGAGGATAATGATGATGATGATGATGATGATGATGATGATGATGATGATGATGATGATGATGATGATGATGATGATGATGACGATGCTGATGCTGATGCTGATGCTGCTGCTGCTGATGATGATGATGCTGATGATGATGATGATGATGATGATGATGATGATGATGATGATGATGATGATGATTCTAGTGGTGGTGGATTTCAACAGCTTCAAGGAGCTCAGCAGCTGGAAGCAATTTGTGGAGGCGGAGAAGAAGGAGGCGGAGGAGGAGGTAGGCCTTTGCGGGGAACTCGAATCCCCCTCGCGCGAGGGGGGGGGGACGGCCTGAGCTCGCTGGTCGCGCCGCGGTCTGGCGGGCGCCAACAGCGATTGCTTGGTCAGGGCACGGTGCGCCCGTCTGGTGCGCGCAGCCGTGCTGTGATGTGTACGATGACGGTTCGACCAGCATGTGGTCCAAGAGAGCACGACAAGCACGTAAAGCTGAACAGCTGGCCAGCCGGAGGCTATGGATTCGGCACTGCAGCGGCAATCTGTGCTGCCCTCCAAGTTCATGACGACGAAGCGCGCTGGTCTGTGGAACGTACGACGCGGAGGTGAACACGTACGAGGCGTAGGTGAGCACGACGTACTGGACGGACATGGGCGCCGACGGGGTAAACCGGAGCATCTTCGACGTGGAAGTCAGGGCGGATGTGGCCACCCAAGAGGCGGAAGTGCGCACGAAACAAGCGGGAGGGCAACACCTTTTAGCCAGAGGTGAGCGCGTTCCCTGCGGAGGTGCGCGAGATGGATGTGAGCACCGACGAGGCGGAGGTGAGCACGCATTCGGCGGAGATGGGCACGCACGAGATGGAGGTGGGCACCTACGGGGCAGACGCGGGCACGCACGAGGTGGAGGAGAGCAGGCACGAGGCGGAGGTGAGCTCCTACGAAGCGGAAGTGAACACGCACCTGGCGGAGGCGAGCACGTGCAGGGCGCAGGTGGGCACTTGCGAGGCGGAGGTGAGCGCGTGCTCGGCGGAAGTGAGCGCGTGCGAGACGAAGATGGGCCCCAGCGAGGCGGAGGTGAGCACGCGCGAAGCGGAGGTCAGCGCGTGCGAGATGGATGTGAGCACCTACGAGGCGGAGGTGCGACGGAGGTGGGCACTTACGAGGCGGAGGTGAGCGCGCGCGAGGTGGGGGTGAGCACGCGCGAGACGGATTTGAGTCCCCACGGAGCGGAGGTTCGCGCGCATTTTGCGGAGGCGAGCGCCGACGAGACGCGAGTGATTTTTCGCGAGGCGGAGGCGAGCACGCACGAGGCGGAGGCGGAGATGAACACCTCCGAGGCGGAGGCGTACGCACACGAGGTGCAGGGCAACACCTGCGAGGCGGAGGTGGGCAAATATGAGGCGGAAGGCGGGTGCGTACTCGGCGCAGGCGCGCGCCTACTAGGCGGACGAGGTCACCCGTGCGGAGGCGAGCATACGCGAGACGGGGTTGAGCACTGCGAGACGGAAAAGGTGTTGACCACCTCCCAGCCCCCTTGAGACTCTGAAGGGCGACGTCAGGAACGCCGAGAAAAAGGAGGCGGTCGACTCGCTCGTTGGAGGAAGGCCGAAGAGGACATGCAGGACAACGACGACTTGGAGCAGGCGAATGCGTGTCACTCGAAAGTCTTGGGCCTGGCGCGTAGTCGAGCAGGCGCAGTTCCGTCATATCCCCCAACTATGTTTTAGTATAGGGGTTCTTACCTACCCATAAGAATGATACCGGAGAAAAAACCCAATCATCATTTGTTTAGGGCTTTAGGGCTATAGGGGCTATAAGGCTATAGGGCTAGAAGGCTATGGGGCTATAGGGCTACAGGGCTACAGGGCCATAGGGCTATAGGGCTATTGGGCTATAGGGTTATGGGGCTGTAGGGCTGTAGGGCCATAGGGCTATAGGGCTATACGGCTATAAGGCTATAAGGCTATAGGGCTATTAGGGCGATAGGGCTACATGGCTATAAGGCTACAGGGCTATTTAGAGCTACCTGGCACCCAGGCACCTGGGCACCCAGGCACCCGGGCACCGGGCACCCGGGCACCCGGGCACCCGGGCATCCGGGCACCCAGGCACCCAGGCACCCGGGCACCCGGGCACCCCCTGGCACCCAGGCACCCGGGCGTGCAGCGAAAATCGGCGGCAAACAGAACCTAACCACATGAATCCGCTAGGATCCTTCTAAAGGCAAGCTCTGATTGGGGAATGAGTTTTGAAAGACTCAACCGGCCTGGCCTTTCACATGGCATGGTTTTTTCTGTTGATGGTGTTGATGATGATGTTGTTGCTGTTATGGTTGATGTTTTTGTTGGTGGTGGTGTAGTTGTAGCTGATATTGTTGGTGTCGTTGAATCAGCTGTCGTTGCTGCCCCTGTCGTCGTTGATGATGCTGCTGTTACTGCTGTTGTTGTTGTGGTTATGCTTGTTGTTGTTGGTGGTGTGGTTGTTGTTGGTGTTGATGTTTGTGGTGCGATTTTTTGGTTTTGTGTGTTGATTGTTGGTTTCGCTGTTCGTGCTGAAATTGTTGCTGTTGTTGCTGTTGTTGTTGTTGTTGCTGAGGTGTTGCATTGTTGTTATTGGCGTTGTTGTTGCTAGTTATGTTGCTGCTGTGAGTGTTGTTGTGGTTAGTGTTGTTGATGACATCTGCTATTGCTTCGCTGCTAAGTTCTTGTTGTTGTTGCTGCTGTTGTTCGTTGTGTCGTTGTTGTTGTTGTTGGTGTTGGTGTTGGTGTTGTTGTTGCTGTTGCTGTTGTTGTTGCTGTTGCTGTTGTTGTTGTTGTTGGTGTTGGTGGTGTCGTTGTTGTTGTTGTTGTTGTTGTTGTTGTTGTTGTTGTTGTTGCCGCTGCTGCTGCTGCTGTTGTTGTTGTTGCTGTTGCTGCTGCTGCTGTTGTTGCTGTTGTTGTTGTTGTTGTTGTTGTTGTTGTTGTTGTTGTTGTTGTTGTTGTTGTTGTTGTTGTTGTTGTTTGTTGCTGCTGCTGCTGCTGTTACTGTTGCTGTGGTTGCTAAGGCTGATGTTGTTGTGTTGTTGTTGCTGCTGCTGTGGGCTAGTTCTGGATCGTGCGCCCTGGCCCCTCGAAAGTCGCGACCCTCACGAGGATGGTGCCCGTCTGGAGGGTCAGAAGCCCTTTGCTAGCTCGTTGGACCAGTTGTGGTTCGGGCGCCCTTGCCCTTCGACAGTTGGCGACCCTGATGCCCCTCTGGACGGGCTGAAACCCTCTGACGACTCTGTGGGCCACTTGTGGTTCGGGCGACCTGGCCCTTCGAAATGTTGTCACCCTCACGAGAATGGTGCCCTTTCGGAGGGGCTGAAGCCCTCTGCCAGCTCTGCGGGCCAGCTGTAGTTCGGGCGCCGTGGCCTTTTCGAAAAGTGGTGATCCTCACGAGGATGGCGCCCGTCTGGAAGGGCTGAAGCCCTCTACCCAGCTCTGTGGGCCAGTTGTGTGTTCGGGCGACTGGCCCTTCGAAAAGTGGCGGTCCTCGTGAGGATGTTGCCCTTTTGGAGGGGCTGAAGCCCTCTGCCGGCTCTGCGGGCCAGTTGTGGTTTGGGAGCCCTGGCATTTTGAGAAGTGGCGACCCTCACAAGGATGGTGCCCCTCAGGAGGGGCTAGAGCCCTCTGCCGGCTCTGTGGGCCAATTGTGGTTCGGGCGCCCTGGCCTTTCGAAAAGTGGTGACCATCACGAGGATTCTGGAGGGGCTGAAGTCCTTGACCGGCTCTGTGGGCCAGCTGTAGTTCGGGCGCCGTGGCCCTTCGAAAAGTGGCGGCCTTCGCAAGGATGGTGCCGTTCTGGAGGGGCTGAAGCTCTCTGCGGGCTTTGCGGGCCAGTTGTGCCTCGGGCACCCTAGCCCTTGGAATTTGGCCACCCTCGCGGGGATGGTGCCCTTTCGGAGGGGCTGAAGCCCTCTGGCGGCTCTGTAGGCCAAATGTGATTCGGGCGCCCTGGCCGTTTCGAAAAGTGGTGATCCTCACGAGGATGGCGCCCGTCTGGAAGGGCTGAAGCCCTCTACCCAACTCTGTGGGCCAATTGTGTGTTCGGGCGCCCTGGCCCTTCGAAAAGTGGCGGCCCTCGTGAGGATGGTGCCCCTCTGGGGGGGCTGAAGCTCTCTGCCGGCTCTGCGGGCCATCTGTGCCTCGGGCAGCGGGCGCCCTGGCCCTTGAAAATGGCGACCCTCGCGAGGATGGTGCCCCTCTGGAGGGGCTGAAGCCTTCTGCTGGCTCTGTGGGCCAGTTGTGGCTCGGGCACCCCAGCCTTCGAAAAGTGGCGACCTTCACGAGGATGCGCTCGGGCGCCATGGCCCTTCAGAAAGTGGGGGCTCATGAGGGTGATGCCCCTCTGGAGGGGCCGGGAGCCTCTGCCGGCTCTGTGGGCCAGTTGTGGTTCGCGTCTTCATAGTTGGGGTCGACGTTGGGGTAGTTAGGCGGACCAGGAGGGCTGGGCCTGGGTGCGGTGTTCACTAGATAGAGAAGACGCTTGGCCCGACAGGGAAGTTGATTGCTCCAAGGCGCTCATCATTGACGGGGCAGCGGCAGGGCGCTCTACGCGCGCGCCGTGGTCCGCTGCAATGTGTCAAATCTTAGCTGAACCCTCGTTGAGGTCGGGAAACGCATCGCTCAGCGGGCGGACTCCGGCGTCATTGATCCCGCGCTCGTGGAGCTCGAGCGGCGTGTCGAGGCAAGGGCAGGTCTTTGCTACGCCCTCGGTGACAGGACACCTCCGGCTAATAGGGCGTTCTGGGGCGAGGGTAGCGAGGAGTGCGACGAGGACGAGGAACGCAATGCACCTCATCAGCAAAACGCAGCACCTGGCCAAAAGGCCCCGCGCGCGAGCCCTGAGACGCGAGGGCGCCAGCGGGAACGTTGACGAGCGCCGCCAAGAAGACCGAGCAACGCTAAGAGGCGCTGGCAGAGCTAAGTCGGGCCTGTCCCTCTACAGGGGGAATTCAACAACTGTCCAAAAATAGTCTGGGGACAATTTTTGGTGCATTTTGGGGCAACTTTTCTGGTAATTATTTGAATGATTTTTTTCGTCCAAAGCCCCCTCTGTAGGGGGACAGGCCCGACCTAATGCCAGAGCCAACGGACGGCATAATCGGCGCACCGGAACCCGACGCCGACATCAAGATCCATTCTGGAAACGAAAATGCCACTGCCCCATGGGCCCCCCTGAGTCGTCGGGGCCGCGTTGGCTTTCTGGGCCTTGCGGGCCCCGCGGGCCACGGCAGCCCCATGGGCCCTCGGGGCGCCATCGGCCCCATGGGCGTTGATTTGCCTGGCGAGCCCCGTGGCCTGTGAACTCAGCGAGCAGCGCGAGCCACCTCGGGCTTTGTGGGTCCCGCTGGGCCGTCGCATGCCCGCCGGGAGAGGGCGCGCATCTTTTCCTGTGGGGTTTTGGCGCTGGCAACGTCGGAGGGCCGACGCCAGCGCCAAGTCGCCCGCTGGAGCGGCGGCCCCATGGGGAAGCGGAGCCTTCGTCGACTGCGAAAGTGGGCCAGGGCGTGCGGGCTGGGTTGGGCGGGCGCCGCGCTCTCGGGCCCGGCCGCGCAGGGCGGCCGTGGCCCTTGGCGCGGGGAGTGGGCGGTGGAATCGGGATCGGCGGGCGCCTGCCTCGGGCTCGCAGGGCTTCGCATAGACGCGACAAGGGCGGGCGCGGGGCGGGTCAGAGGTGGCGGGGGGGGGGGAGCTGGGATAAACCGAGGGGGGGGGGGGGCGCGGAGGAGGGCGGCGGAGGAGCGGGGGGGGGCGCTTCGGTTACGGAAGAAGCCTCGTCTTTCCTCCCCCCCCCTCCCTCGAGAACGCCCGCCAGCTTCGCCTCTCGCCCGCGCTTCTTGTTTCCTGCCCCCCCCCCGCGCGCTGCGCGACGCCCCCTGCCCCCCCCGCTCCTCCTTAGAGATTCTGAAGGCAGGGGCGGGCTCGCGCTGGCCCAGAACGCAACCCCAAGTTTCATATAACACATGTTTTCTTGGTGGTGTTTTTTCTCTTGTTTATTTTCCGATCGGCGCGGGCCCTGCCCCCCCCCCCGTGGAGTAGATCTCGACTGTTTTTGGCGCCTGTATCGAGCAGGTTGGGTCTCCCCAGTGGACGCGCTGTTCGCAGGCAGTCGCG